GGAAAACCAGAACAACACATATAAAGTATACATAGCTACTATCGGGAAAACCAGAACAACACATATAAAGTATACATAGCTACTATCGGGAAAACCAGAACAACACATATAAAGTATACATAGCTACTATCGGGAAAACCAGAACAACACATATAAAGTATACATAGCCACTATCGGGAAAACAACACATATAAAGTATACATAGCCACTATCTGGAAAAACAGAAAGTTAGATGGAATTGGTAAACTACACATAATTAGCGTTTGCATCCCCCCCCCCCTGTTTGTTCGGTTTTAGTCTGTCTTCTTGTATACCCATACCCACTCATTTAATATTAAATAAACAAATAGAGGTTACACAACGAGTGGTTGTTGTTTATGGTATTTCTTTCTCTCGAGTTAGTTATTTTTCAAAAGTTACATAAAACACAAGCTTTAGCTCGTGTTTTTTGTAACTTTTGAAAAATAACTAACGGGAGTGAAAGCAATACCATATACAACAACCACGAGTTTGTGTGACCTGTTTCTACCACAATAAAAAATATTCCGAGCTAATTGACATGTTCTGTATGCATATGTGTTTTGTTTACGATATCAGATGGGGCGTAAGGATATGACCTGTTGTAAAATGCTGCTTATTAATATGCAAAAATGACAATTTCAGGAATATGTGGAAATATCATGATTTATTACAAATCATAACAAGTACGTAACAAATGTATTGTCTTCAAAGCAATTAATTTAAAGAAACCAACATAAGAAATTTATTGTTACAAAAACAATGACGAACTACTTTTTGTGTGTCATCATTTCTGCCACCGCATGAAGCGTGAATAACACCCACCTATTGTGGTAGAATTATCTTTTACCAATAAGGGATAGTCCCCACATTTGAATAGTAATTAAACAAATCATAAAATAAACAATCAAATGCCATGTACTGCATAACTATTACATTAAAAACAAAACACAAATTAAAAACCGTTCATGATCATAAACCTTTCAAGTCCCAAGGATACCTAGGGAGGCTATATCAGGGTGGACTGCTACTCGTCTGCCCATGCATCTGTACAATGTATATACGGAGACTCTGGAGGTCTGGAGGCCCCTCCTCTGTGCCCCTCTCCCATATCACGTACACTATAAAGTGAAAAAGTCTTAAAACAAATATAGTCAAATCAATACGTATTAGGTAGGTATAGCTGCTATCAGAACAAGAAAGATAGATGGAATTAGCAAATAACAATCAATATTTAACAAAAGCGCACATGTCATCTATCACGGCCTAGTAAATTATATATAGCAAAAATATGTTTGACACAGAATTCGGCTCTGGTAGGATCGAAAAGTACGCGACAATAATTCGAACCCGATATCTCCCTGAAAACACTCCCGACTTTCTCAATAGCTAAAATTACAATCCGAAGTTCATTCGAACCTGACAAATCCAAAACAACCCCTACGTTTGACTCTTTGGCCTCACAATACATCTAGTAAAAAGCATATTTAAGGAAATTTTAACTACTGGTAGAATCTAATTTCAATAGAAACCTATGGCCCCCTTCCTACTAAAGATCTCGAAAGGGTAGGAGCGTTAATGCCGACATAGAGGATAGGGTTAGGTAAGATAACCATTTTTTTATGACGATTCGACGGACTTCCAAAATATAGAAACAAAACAAAACACAAATAGAGTAGGGTATAATTAAAGGACAGCCTGGATATGGTAGACACGCCCTCCTCCTATACCCACACTATGTAAGACATCCTGATATGATACGACCACTGACCTTCCCATCTTTTAGTATACTAATAGAATTTGTAATATATATATATATATTTAGCTCAGTAACTTATACATCCCTCCCTTAAGGCCCTCTTCGCTACCCGCTTCCTATCTGCCAATTTGTACTTTTTGATTGCTCAAATATTTATCTAAATATTATTATTTTTCTTCTAAAATACATAAACATACAACATAGAATAAAAGGTAAAAGCCCGCATACACCATAGGGACCCCTCGGATAAAAGAAACAAAGTACTGTACCTAACGGAAGCAGAGACGTTGTTAGAGACCCGGGGTACATAACAAATATAATATATATACTTCCCTATAAGAACATGATACATGAAATAAATGCACTTTTAAGATATACATTTTTTTTTATAAACATTAATATAAGCAATCTTGGCCATTTTAACCTCCCTCTAACGATACCAAAACACTAGCAAGGAACAACAGACAAAGTTGTAGCAACCGGCGCGACACACCTACCAACCATTTCGGACCAAGAAGTCGTCTCCCAAATTTTCATCAAAAGATAAGGATAGAAGTAAACTTCCCTCACTCTCACTCCGACAGAACACCGACACCAGTCAGTGAGGTGAAACCCACATGGGTAGAATCATGTAGGCGAAAAACCCGTCAACCAACCAACCAACCAACGGCGGAGTTACGTCCCCTTGAAGAACGAAAAACGTCATTATCTGCTACATTTCGTTTCAGTGCAATAACTACAACAAATGTAAACTGATTTTCTGATTAACGAAAAACGTCATTATCTGCAGTTTCTGCTTACCGGTAATAACTCTAACAACTATTAGCCAAATTCCTTCAAACTTGATAACAATGTTTGTGTTCCTCTGTCTTTCCACCCATCTCGGGCACTCTTCGGTTTTCGTGTGATAATTGCTGTAGATATCGTTCAGATGGTTGAACCAAATTCCGTATGCACATCCGACTCATGCTAAGTTTGCCAACTGATGTGATTTGTGCATATTTACGGATAATCAATGAGGTATAGGGCTTTTTTCTTCAAGTTTCAAGCTTTACAGTATGTCTCAGCAGCACGATACTCACATGTTTAAACATAACCTCAATAGTGTTAACCTACAATATGTCCTGCAAGCGGGGATATAAATTCCACGAATTTGCTTGTTCTTATTTGAAATTGACCTCTTCCGTTGAAAGCTAATTGTGACGACATAGTTTATTGTTTATCTGACGCCATTGCAATGCTTCTTTCCATATGCCATCTGTCGTAACATAGGAGATGATGAGATGGAATTTCAATATGAAATCGGTATGGAATATAACTAATATAGTATTCCTTATGAAACCATAAGCAACTCATGAATGTGTCGAGTTTCCACATATATGTACATCATTTGTACTACACGGTCTAATGTAGTAATGATCTTAGAGGCGAAGGGTGAACTTTAACATTATCCGTGCACTACTAATTATCATAAACATCAGGAATTGGTCCACATGTCGTTAATAAAAGGATGGACAAGTATTTGGAAGAATAGGCGATAATGAATGAAATTAAAGCCGAAGGAAGTAATAATAATACCATTAAATTCTAAAAATTGTTAAGACCTAGCTTGGCCCGAACTCCCCCTGCTTGCAAGTATCAATATAAATATATATATATTCACGTGGGAAGAAATAAATATGAAAATATAAACAATATTGATCAAACGGATCCCTCCCAGAACTAATTTAGGATTATTATATAATAACAAGATATGTAGCTATAATGTGAGGCCGTGGTACGTTTTGTAGATGTACCATATTGCCCTCTGTGTCAACAACGTGCTGTGTATGAAGAATGTGGTGGATCATTTGAAGCGCTCGTCACTGACGAATCAAATACTAAGAGGAGATAAAAAGAACAATGTATTCATATCTTACTCATCTCAAAACAAAACAGACGAGGACAATACAGGAAGTGACAATGCAGACACGGACATATCAGGAATTGAAAATGCAGACACGGACATATCAGGAATTGAAAATGCAGACACGGACATATCAGGAAGTGACAATACAGGTGTGATCAGGTCAGGAAGTTACAATACAGGCGTGGACAATACAGGAAGTTACGATACAGGCGTGGACAATTCCGGAAGTTACGATACAGGCGTGGACAATACAGGAAGTTACGATACAGGCGTGGACAATACAGGCGTGGACAATACAGGAAGTTACGATACAGGCGTGGACAAGACAGAAAGCTACAATACAGGCGTAGACAATACAGGAAGTTACGATACAGGCGTGGACAATACAGGAAGCTACGATACAGGCGTGGACAATACAGAAAGAGACAATACAGGCGTGGACAAGACAGGAAGTTACGATACAGGCGTAGACAATACAGGAAGTTACAATACAGCCGAGAACAATACAGGAACTTACAATACAGGCGTGGACAATACAGGAAGGGACAATACAGGCGAGGACAATACAGGAAGAGACAATACAGGCGAGTACAATACAAGAAGGGATAATCCAGGCGGGGACAATACAGAAAGGGACAATAGAGGCGAGGACAATACAAGAAGGGTCAATACAGGCGAGGACAATACAGCAAGGGACAATACAGGCGACGACAATACAAGAAGGGACCATACAGGCGAGGACAATACAACAAGGGACAATACAGGCGACGACAATACAAGAAGGGACCATACAGGCGAGGACAATACAGTAAGAGACAATAGAGGCGAGGCCAATACAAGAAGGGACAATACAGGCGAGGACAATACAAGAAGGGATAATACAGGCGAGGACAATACAGAAAGTGACAATAGAGGCGAGGACAATACAAGAAGGGACAATACAGGCGAGGACAATACAGGAAGAGACAATACAGGCGAGGACAATACAAAAAGGGACAATACAGGAAGAGACAATACAGGCGAGGACAATACAGGCGAGGACAATACAGGAAGTTACGATACAGGAAGGGACAATACAGTAGTCACTCTTGTCACTCTATACGAAGGTAGGTAAACAACATTTATTCTATTGGCCGCTGAAATTGAACTTGAAAGCTTAATAAATAACTATTTAATTTGGTTTTAATAATTCAGCAGCGCTTTGATGAAATATGACATTTTCATTTTATTTACAGAAGTCGTTAAGGAATTGGAATGCCTCTCAATGAGCCAGGAAAATGAGAACCCAAACATTGTTCGTCTCCAGGAAATGGTGGATGAAATCTTCAGAGAGAAAGGGAAAGATTCAACGTTCATAGTTTTCGTAGAAACAAGAGATTCTGCCAAGGACGTATCTGAGTACCTAAACGAGAAATCTGACTTTGCTAAATGTTGGCATCTGATAAGCTCACGGTCCACGGCAGAAGAGGACCAAAGTACGTGTCCTCATATGGAATTGCGAATCAATCAGATCTTACATGTAATTCACGAGAAATTAGATTAGCAAAACTGCGAATTCTAGCTACATCCCTATCGTTTAGTGTGTGCAAGAATATAGATATTGGTGAATTTTGCAATTTACGTAAATACCTTTGCTTTTACATTCCATTTAAAATCAGGTAAATCTTAAAGACAGGGATTTGGCGCTATTTCAATTTTATTGATTCAAAGTAGAATGTTTGGTAAAATATTCGCATTAAAAATGTTGACTTTTTGACTTTCTGCATCGACCTTTTAAATACTAAGATAAAAGTTTCCCTTTTTCGTAATTATGATGCTTCTTGATGGTTCATTAAATTCTCGAAGTTGGAATTGATGCAGGCACAGTTTCTCGTCTGTATCGTCATAAAGGCTGTTAGGAACATTTCCGTTTTTGCTCTATTGCTTAAGATGTTTCGAAAAAGTTTAAGCATGTGATTTCAATCTTTTTAACTTCAGTTTCACTGATGTGTCCTAAATACTGTATAACACGAAATGTTCATGGGTATTTTCTTTCGTGGTTTAAAGCCATTTAGATCGTTTCGTGGTCCAAACTTTCGTGGATATCCCATATTAATAAACAGTAGACACATATATCATTCAAACTCGTTGTATCTATTTTCGTGGTTCAATAGGAACCAAGAAAACCACGAATGATTATACGTAACCAACATTTCATGTTATACAGTAGGTGATGAATTCAAGAAATGTTGGCTTTGGTGGGCTTGCTGCATCGACTATATCAATATATATAAATATATGGCCCTTACTTTGTATGTCTAGTGAGTATATTGTCTGGCGCTCTAAACAAAACTTTGTTGTGTTTCCTATCAGGACAATCTCTTGCCAATCGTACACGTGTGGTCCAGCGACTCCGAGAGAAAGAGTTAAACGGACTAGTGGCGACACCTGTGGCCGAGGAGGGGTTGGATATACCTTCATGTAACTTTGTCATTCGCTACAACAAGTCCAGCAACGAGATATCAACCATACAGACCGCAGGTTTGTTTTATAAAGCTTACTGGCTTTCTGTCATTGCTCCACTCTACACATCACAAATGTGTGTTTCCAAAAGCATTTTAAGTGTTATAAAGTTTTGCTAGCAGACGTTGCTGTATTTTTCTCTTTAATTGCTCATGATATGTTCTGAAATAAAGTTCCAAATGGAAAGAAGAAATTCGGAGTAAGGATATCTCTTTAACACAAATAGAAAACTCCATTAATCTTCAAAATAAATCCAATAGTAGCAGAAAATCGTATAATACGGGTGTACTCAGTTTGATAAAGACATTATTCCCTGCCATTCAAAGCTTATATACCACTTCCTTTCCTCCTTTCTTTTCAATTCGTCAGTCACAGCATCTCTAAGCGGTCACAGAGCTTTTGTAGATAAATTCTATTATTATTGTTGATCATGGAAAGCATTGGAAAAAATATCGCTTATCGGTGTCAAATAAATTGTAGCACATGTGTGTTTTATATAAATTGCTAAGGAGTTGTTGGACAGACAACGCTGTAAGGAGAACTGATATGATCGTATGTGTTACAGGACGTAGTAGAGCAATGCAGGGCACTGTCATAGACTTTGCTGATCAACAGAAGCACAGACAGGAGGAGGTGAACGTGATGAGATTGACATTAATGAATCAGGCCTTGGAGAACATTCTAAGCAAGCCTATCGACGAGATCATGCGGACGGTCGCTCAGCGCATGCGCTCACTCACCATCGCAGAGGCTGAAGAGGAGCGCAACCGACAGACGCAGTTGGCGGCTAAAACGCAGAGCAACTTCACGCTGCGATGCTGGGAGTGTCAGGTTGTCGCTGTGTCTAGCTGTGATATTAGATGCTTCATAAAATCCCAATACATAGTCGTAGGTAGAGAATTTTACAACAAAGTCAAATGCCGGCGTAACAAAAAAGTCTGTAAGTATGGAGGCATGACTAAAAAATACAAAATAGACTGTAAAAACTGTGGATGTGACTGGGGAGTGGGGGCTTGTAATGATAACAATGTGTTTTTTGCAGTGTTGAAGATAAAACAGTTTATTGCGAGGGATGATGACACAGGCATCGAGTACATTCGCGAGAACTGGACAAAACTACCCTTTACGGTACAGACCATGGCTGCGGAGGACTTCTCCTCTCTCGCTGGAGTAGAAGAACTGATTGAACACGTCCAGGACAGCTAGTGGGACACTTACAAGAGGGTACATTATAGAACATGTCCCTGACTGCTCGTCCTATACTTCAGTATTGTGTGGCAGGAATGTACACCATAGCATCGACACTGTGAACTCAGTATTGTGTGGCAGGAATGTACACCATAGCATCGACACTGTGAACTCAGTATTGTGTGGCAGGAATGTACACCATAGCATCGACACTGTGAACTCAGTATTGTGTGGCAGGAATGTACACCATAGCATCGACACTGTGAACTCAGTATTGTGTGGCAGGAATGTACACCATAGCATCGACACTGTGAACTCAGTATTGTGTGGCAGGA